CGAAATGTATAGAAACCCCGTGTGGTTGGTCTGCTTTGGCCCTATGTTTAAGTTATACGAATTTAGTTTTCAGATGTCTAAATGAAGGATGGGGTTAAGTTTTTCTGACGCCCTCGGCGCATGCGGTCTTGCATCTACCCAGAAATCAGCTCATAAATTTTACCATGAATTGTAAAAGTGGTGAATTAACAAGAAAAGATCACCGTAGGTATATCAATAGCTTCATTTGAAAGCTACTTAAGAGATCACACGACTCATTTAGCAATGTACCGGAAAACTTTTCATTCTGCGGGACAGCGAGGATTCTTGGCCCTCCTATAACAGAAAACGCACTTCTGTGCTCTTGAGTTTCCCTATAAGAACTTTTATTGGCATACGCATCGCACCAATGTTGTAGTTGCAAGATCATACAAAAAGATTACGCATGCTCGGCAGAGATCTCACAGGTGGAAATAAGACCAACGGTAGAGCTTATGACACCGAAAGGGATTGGTATTCTATATGGTATCACAGCGTTACTATTATTGGCCTATGTGTGAGGAGGATACAGCACCTTAGTGGTTTCAACTTAAATTAAAAATTTTGACTTTACAGACTAATTTTGTTTTTAAACGCTCTTTTGCATTGGTCAACGCAAAAGCTCGTATTAGGCGTCGCGAAGTAAGCGGGCATTGGCTAGTAAGGCCATAAAATAACAAAAACAAATAACTTAAGGACGAGCACACCTAAAAGTTAAACATTCTAAAAATAGAATTATTAACAAAAACCAACAAAACCAACAACTACATGGTCAAGTGTAAATCGTAGCGGAGTAGCTGCGCTTGATTGTGTTGGCTTAGCAAATGAAAAAGTGGGAAAAAACCAACTATAATTTACAAGGCTAACTTAGCACAGTGCGTAGGCAACTGGCTGAGTCAGATGAGGAAATGTGGTGATTTCCGAAATAGCTATCACTTCCACCATTTTTTCAAATTATTGTTGCATTTCCACAATAAGTTTTTCATTAAAACCGGCCTCGAGATCTATAAAAATTGTTGAATATAATTGTTATAAGGCCATAAAATAACAAAAACAAAGTTTTCCAGCAATATTTTCAACATAGTAGATACCATGCGGACAAAATTCATACAAAAGCCTGTCTGATTTGCCGAGCAGTTATTAAAGACGGCGCTTTCCATTTTGTTTGATTAAGTAAAAATATTTTGTGAATAGTCCTTGCTTCATATGAATTATATCACATTTTTTGTTTAATTGTATTTTTGTAATAAACAAAGTTCTTTTTTCTTCTGTCAGTGAACTCTTTTTGTTACAAATAGTATAAATAGCAATGGGAAATAAGGTTTTATATCCAACCTTTGTTGGAGATAAAGCAAAACTCAGATTTTGGTATTATTTCCCATTTACAGGTCTATTCTGCACGTTACCGAAGATTTTGTAACCGCAAAATTTTATTACCAAAAAATGTTACCAGTTCTTGTCACCGCGATTCTAGGAACGTTGGTAATGCAGTTAAAATATTCAGCAATTCAGCTATGAAGAATTGTGCAAATTCTGGCATTGCATATTTCACGGGGTAATACTTTGTTATCAGCTTATGAGATGGTAACAAAATTTACCGGTTACAAGAGTACACAGAATGCGAAAAGGGTTTAAAAATTGACAGACACTTTAATTACCGGTTACAAACTTTTTATTACCAGCGCAGAATAGACCTGTTAAAAATGAAATAAAGCAAATTCTTCTTTATTACCGTTTGTGTTATTTAACGTCCCCCCTGTAAGATATCTACGACGCTTTGCGATAGAAAAGATGTTTGCTTAACACGAAAACCCTCTCCAGTACCACTGCTTTTATTTAGTTCTATAGTTGGTTATTCCATTTTATTATGAACTCCTTCTATATAAAAATGTTTAAATGAATTCAGTACCTCATAAATTCCATCCTGGTAAAAGCGGGGCAATAATCTTCGAAATGAGTTGTGTCCATTACGGCGGCTTTCTATAATTTTGAAGCAGTCGTTTATTAATTCGCAGTTCGCTGGAAGTGTTTTCATAGCCAAAAACTTCTCGCACTCCTCTCCTTCAATGCCATGGGATAGACATTTACTATTTAGGATATAAAGACTTGCTGCTAACAGTTTCCGAGCGATATCATTGTCTTTTCTGGCCTCTTCGTTAGGTAAGGCATCCAAGAGCTGCATGTGTGATATGCTGCCATTTTGAACAAATATATGCGCCTTCACCAGATTTTCCTCAAGCCTATTTAGATTTTTAAAGGAATATGTATGTAGTTTTTATATTTTGTTGAGATAATTTTTCCTAATAAACAATCGTGGTAGAAAGCTCAATAAAAAGTATTAAAAATAAAATGTTAATAAGCCACAAAAACACTGACAAATACATAGTTTAGGAAGAGCCTGCCTGAAACTATACAAAAAAGCAAAATAAGCAAATGCATGTATAGAATTGACAACAACAACCACGCTGTCGAGTTTAAATAGCGGCAAATCAGCTGCACTTGATAGTAGTTGGTTGAATAAGGAAAATGAATTAGCAACAAGAGTTTATGGGATGTACATAGCTCAGTGGTTAACGCTTCTGACTTTGAACATCGAATTCGCAGGTTCGATCCCTGCTGAAGCCTAGAAAAAAGAAGTCTGATGAAGAGATGTGGTGATCTCCGAAATAGCTGCTATAACTTCTACCGCTTAGACTTTGTTGCTTTTTCAATTTTCCCTAATAAAAAATCGTGGTACAAAGCTTAATAAAAAATATTAAAAATGAAATGTTAATAAGCCACAATAACATTGACAAACAGGGACGTGAACCGGATGAAAAATTTGGTCGGTTCGGTACATCGGTTCGAACCGCTTTTGCACTTTTGGATTGGTTCGTCAAAGCGGTCTCTTTGGTCTTTGAACCGGGGTTTCGGTTCGGTGCAACGGTTCGAAAAACAAACAAAAAATAACGCGGAAGTTTAAGAGTCAAATGTCAAGTGCAACAACGCGCAAGGTTAAGGGTCAAGTGTCTGTCAAATGAGATGGGTTGCCTTTACATTTGATATTGTCACATGGTAAACAAACATGGCGGGTATTACCATGTTTAACAAAAAGAAAAAAAGTTGGTACATTTTTCTATTGAAGATTGGTTGAAGCGAACCTTTAAACCTTTGTGGAAAGTGGTTCGGTTACCGGTTCGGATCAAACATTTGTGGAAAGTTTCGGTTCGATTAGTGGTTTAGTTAATTAATGGAAAAAATCGGTTTTCCGGTTCAAAACCGGTTCGGTTCAAACCCGGTTCACGTCCCTGTTGACAAATACATAGTTTAGGAAGAGCCTGCCTGAAACTATACCAAAAAACAAAATAAGCAAATGGATGTATAGAATTGACAACAACAACCACGCTGTCGAGTTTAAATAGCGGCAAATCAGCTGCACTTGATAGTAGTTGGCTGCAACAACAAGCAGCAACAAGAGTTTACGGGATGTACATAGTTCAGTGGTTAACGCTTCTGACTTTGAACATCGAATTCGCAGGTTCGATAAACAAAGTAATAATTTCTAATGTACAGTATTAGCTTATTTATACATATTTCATAACTATATAAAAAGCATTGAGGTAAACTGTTGATAAAGAACATATTTAAATATACATATATTTTAGTAATCTATTTGATACTTCATAATATGATTCAATTAAAATGTGGAAATAATCTTAAACTCAATGTTGCTG